GGCGGGGGCGGAGGCGGCCGGGGCGGGCTGGGCGGACGACACCGCTGCGGGCCACTCGTCACTCACCTCGGGTGGGTCGCTGAAGAGGCTCAGTCGGAAGCGGCCGCGTTTGAACTCCATCTCCAGGGCGGAGCCCCTGGCCACCGTGACACGGCTCCGGTGGTTTCGGGAGAACATGCTGGCGGCCCCGCGCCCGTGCCGGCCCTGTGTGCTCCCTGCGCCGCCAGGCTCTGCTCGTCGCGTCTGCTTCGGTCCCTCGACGCCCCGTGCTCCGGCCCCCCGGCGCCCGCGGGCCAGTCCGGCCGGGAATGTCCCGCTGCCGGATTCCCAAACCCCGCCCCGGAGACGACACCTGGGCCGGGCAGGGCGCGGCGCTCTCCTCTTCCACCCCAGCCGAAGCCTCTGCCCGCCCGGCGAGTACCGGTCACCGAGCCGGCCTGGCCCGTGAGCCCCGGAGCCAGCGGGACCTTACACCTCGCGAGCACTGCGGGGGCGCGTCCTCCCTTCCGGCCAGGTTGCTGCGCCCCACCTGGGCGGGGGTGGGCCCAGAGAAGCCCCGCCCACCGACCGCCCCTACCTGGCTAGCCCGACTCCGGGGGCGTGGAAAACCCCGTGGCCACGTGGATCCCTGCAGGGCACGCTCCTGCCGGGTCCTGGGACCCAGCCCATCTCATCCCCAAGCAACCTCCAAAGCGACCGTTCCAGCTTCCTGCAGTCCCAAATGTCTCTTCTCTGGCTCTCTCTCTGTTTAGGCTCTCTTTCTTGGCTATCCGCCAGTTCCTAGAGGCCATAGTCCATGGGGTCGTGCTTCAGCACGTCTTGGAAGCCCAGTTCAGTCACTGAGAGCCTGTGGAGCCTTGGTGCAGTCATTGTCCTTTCTGAGCTTCAGTTTTGCCCTCCGTTCGCAGGGGTACTGCAGTTACCCCATCCCTCAGGTTGCTGTGGGGATTACATGTGAGTATGTAGTAGTGAAAAATGCCCAGCATGCTTGGTGCAAGGCAAGGGCCGGTAAGCGAGCTCTGAACACAGAAGCAGGTGAGCACCCTCGTGCCCCTGTGTGGGAACCGGCAAGCCGCCCGACTCCCTGACCCAGACTGTACGTGCGTTAGAGAGGGAGGACTCCTGTCAGCTTGATGTGACCATTTCTCAGCTGCCTTCTGGGGGCGCTGAGGCAGGGTTACCACTCCAGGCTTGGGCAGAAAGCACAGTGGGAAAGAAGGAACGGCAGAGGATTTGCTTGCCGACCACACACCAGGGGGGCTCCTGGAAGCTTCAAAACTTACTGAGGGGGACCAGCAGATGGCATAATGGTCGCACTGCTGAAAGCCCACGTAGTCAACCACAGTTTGAGTTCTAGAACTGACAGCTTTAAAACACACTAGGCTCATGTTCGAGCATGCCCAGAATCCTGAGAATGGAGAAGGGATTGCAATCCATCTCCCTGGGGGGGGGGGGGGGGGCTTTTTTGTTTTCTT